ATTGTTATATTAGCATGGTAATAGTAGTTTTTAAAATGTTTTCTTTTTTTTGTAATTTAAAAAAATTTTATTTGTTCTTTTTAGATATACTGTAGAAGTTTTCTTTTTAGTAAAGGAGAACTGAAATCATTCCATGTTGATATATAAAATACTTTTGAAAAATAATGTTTTTCACTTCTGTGTTTTAAAGTCAATATCATAGTAGAATCATGATTTTTATTTTTGAGATAAAGCTAGAAAAAAGGCTTCAGCATAGTAATGTCTAATTTTGTTGCACTGTTTTTTGTGGTGTTGATTCTCTGCTGTCACAGATTTTTTTTTTTTTTTTAGAGAGAGAGAGAGAGAATTTTTTTAAATATTCATTTTCTAGTTTTCGGTGGACACAACATCTTTATTTGTATGTGGTGCTGAGGATCGAACCCAGTGCTGCACACATGCCAGGCGAGCGCTCTACCGCTTGAGCCACATCCCCAGCCCTGTCACAGAGTTTTTAAAAAATTTTATTCAGTTGGCCAGTTCCAGAATGTAATGTCTCAATGAGGATATACTTATTATTCTGTAGTGAGACATTTGATCTTTTAAAAAAGGGGTATTCATATTACTTTGTATGTTAAGCACCAGGTTAGATAATAATATTGTCTAGGATGAAAATTTAGTGTGCTAAGGAGAATGGGGCAAGTTGCTTACTCTTGAGGAGCTGTGCTAATTCTGTCAGACTGGGATCTTGTCTGCAACTTTAAGAAACTGTTGCAGTAGGCCTTTCCATTTGACTATATATATATTTTTTTTAATTAATTGACATTGAAATTTCAGATCAGCCCACTCTGAAACTTTAAGGGTACCAGATAGTTCTATGCTGTAGGATTTCTTTAATAGTTGGGTTCATTTAGACCAAATCATACATGGATGGAATTTAATTTACTCCATTTCAGACACTGGTGGCTGCCACTCCTTTCCTTGTCCTTCTCAGCCCCTGAACCCTGTTTTCCCCTTAATTCTTGCTTTTTTAACCAGAGATTGAACCCAAGGGTGCATATCTGAGTCACATCCCCAGCCCTTTTTATATTTTGTTTAGAGACAGGGTCTCATTAAGTTGCGTAGAGTCTTGACAAGTTACTGAGGCTGGCTTTGAACTTGAGAGCCTCCTGCTCAGCCTCCTGAGCCCCTGAGATTACAGATTATGAGCCACCATGTCCAGCTTTATAGAAATACATAAAGGTAAATTTGCTGTGGTATATTTATACATGTACATTGTGTAATTTGGTCAAATTTACTTCCCATTTCCTCCCCTTTCCTATCTTTCCTCCCTCCTTGATCTCATTCTTCATCTCTGACATTCCCTGTATCTAGGATATCCACTCCAGACCCCTCCTATTTTTTTCCTGTACTTTGCTCCAGTTTCTGCATATGAGAGAAATGTTCGATCCTTGGTTTTCTGAGTCTGGCTTATATCTCTTGGCTAGGTATTCTCTAGTTCCATTCATTTACTGGCAAATGCCATGATTTCATTCTTCATGACTGAGTAAAACTCTGCCATGTGTACATGGCACGTTTTCTTAATCCATTCATTTATTGACAGGCATCTGGGCTGGTTCCATAACTTGGCTATTGTTAATTGTGCTGCCATACCATTGATGTGGCTGTTTCAATATAGTATGCTGATATTAATTCTTTGGGATAAATACTAAGGAGTGAGATAGCTGTGTCCTATGGTGGTTTTGTTCCTAGATTTTTAAGGAATCTCCAGAGTGCTCCCATAGTGGTTGTACTAATTTATAGTCCCATCAAAAATATATATGAGTGTATCTTTTTCCCCCATATCCTTGCCAGCAGTTATTTTTATATACTTTTTTTTTTTTTTTTTTTGGTACCAGTGATTGAACCCAAGGGCGCTTAACCACAGAGCCACATCCCAGCCCCTTTTGTTTTTATTTTGAGACAAGGTCTCACTAAGTTGGATCGTGCTAAATTGCTGAGGCTGGCTTTGAACCTGTGATCTTCCTACCTTAGCCTCCTGAGTCGCTGGGATTATAGGCATGAACCGCCATGCCTGGTCTTATTATTGTTTACATTCTTGATAATTGCTATTCTGACTAGAGTGAAATGAAATCTTAGTGTAGTTTTGATTCGCATTCCCCTGATGTCTAGCTATGTTGAAGTTTTATCTTATGTTTTGTCTTGTGTTTCTTCTTTTGAGAAATGTCTGTTTAGTTCTTTGTCCATTTATTGACTGTGTTATTGTTATTTTTTGATATTAAGCGTTTTGAGTTCTTTATGTATTCTGGATATTAATCCCCTTACTAGAGGAGCAGCTGGCAAAGGTTTTCTCCCATTCTGTAGGCTCTCTCTTTATGCTCTCAATTGCTTCATTTGCTTTTGGAAGTTTTTAAATTTGATATCATCCCACATAATGATTCTTGGTTTTATTTCTTGAGCTTTAGGGGTCTTGTTATTGTTAAGGAAATTGGTGCTGCACCAGTATGATAGAGTGTTAACCCTATGTTTTCTTCTAGCAGTTTATGATGGAGGATTTCTGATAACATTGAAAGACTTTAAGCAAACAGTAAATTCTCTTTCTTGTGCTTTAAAATTATTGAATTTCCAAAGTAAGTCATTTTATTGTAAGTACTGTAAGGCCAAATAGTTAGGTTCAGATTGAAATATAATTTATTACAATTCTAAAGGGAGCAAAAATAAAGTGAAAAACATTGAAAAAAGTTTTCAACATTAGATTTGATTTTTTTCCCCCATCCAAAACCATAATGGCAAATTGTGTTCTTTATCCTGTTAGAGTAAATATTCACTTGTTTTTAAGACCTTGTGCTTATCATTATCAGTGTAACACAGATGAACACTTTAGCTTACGAATCTTGTTTCAGGAACTGGGCAGGCACCTGGGCTGGTGACACACGCCTGTAATCCCAATGGTTTGGAAGGCTGAGGCAGGAGAATTGCAAGTTCAGAGCCAGCCTCAGCCATTTAGTGAGGCCCTAAGCAACTTAGTGAGACCTTGTCTCTAACTAAATTTAAAAAAGGGCTGGGGAAGTGCACCTGGGTCAATCCCCAGTACACCCCCCCCCCCAATTTTTTTTTTTCAAATAATATCTTATTCCAAAACAGGTTTATCTGTTTTCTAAAGCTTTGTATTTTTCGTTATAACCTAGAAAGATTTTTGACTCTTCCATTTCTTTGATACTTGGTACTGGGGATTTAACCTAGTGATGCTTAATCACTGAACCATGCCCTCATTCCCTTTTTGTTTTTTGAGATGGGGTTGCCCAGGGCCTTGCTAAGTTTCTGAGGCTGGCCTTGAACTTGTGATCCTCCTGCTTCAGCCACTGGAGTTGCTGGGATCACAGGTGTGCTCCACTGCACCTGGTTTGTCCCAGTAATTTCATTGCTAGGGGTGTCTCTGTATTTATGTATATCTTAGAGATCCGTGTGTGCATATGTACCAGAAGATATAAGAATATTAATAGTATTATTTCCAATAGTCATTAATTAGAATAAGCCACATGACCATTGGCCCATTGAAAAATTTGTACATTTTAAAAAAAAATTATACCATTACAATGGTCACCAGTGTACAAATAAATATTTATATAAGGGAATTAGTGGGAGTGAAAATTTATGTGCTAATCTGCATGGGTCATCATATTTAATTCTCACAATGTTGAGTGAAATATAGAAGATAAACCTTGAATAGCATATACCATGCTTACATTTTTATACATTTAAAAACTTGTATTTAGGAATGCTTACTCATGCATAAAATTAAAGCCCGGTAACAAATTGCTTACCCTGAATGCTATGATCTAGTTGCTTTTTGTTCCAGATGGGAAATGTATGGAAAAGGGTACTTGGAGAGCTGCTGGGGTACTAGCAGTATTTGGCTTTTTACACCTGGATATTTGCTTTCTAATAACTTGCAGAGCTACATATTTTTATTTGTCATTTACATTTCACATATGGCTGCTATATTTTAAAATAGTTATTTAGAATATAGTTTTTTCCTAAAAAATATAACAGCTTCTTCTAATGTGGAAAAATTGCAATCATAAATTGTGACTTCATGACTTTGTCCCTTCTCATTTTAAGTCATCTGAATTGTGCTGGGGTGAACTCAGGTCTTTGTCCCTGTTAGGCAAGTTCTACCAATTGAGCTACATATATAGCCTCTGAATATGTATTTTCGATTCTAATGTTTCTGGATCTTTTCTCTGTTAGTAATTAAGTGTTTCTACATTATGGAAAAACAGTGGTGTGCTAAGCTACCTCATTCTAGCATGTGAGAGCTGATAGTTCATTTCCCAGCTCCACGTTTAGTGATGCCATATTGGTAGGTTTAGTTGGCTCTGATAAGAGTAGAAATGGAAATAGGAAATGCTACAAATCAAAGTTTACCCATCTTTTCAGAAAGCTGGTTTTTAAACATTTACTAGTACACCACTATCCTATTTGCTACATTGCATAAGAGATCTACAAAGAAAATAACAGTTAACTAAATAGTTATTTATTTTTCTCATTAGTGAAAGTAGCACATTTAGATAAAATTCAATAAAGGCGATCTTCTTTAAGGAAGAAATGATTTATGGGCACAATTTCACTGTCCTTTATGAGGCAGGGTCATATAAAGGCTCAGTGTCAATTGTGTTATAACTGTTGCAGTTTGAATTTTAGCTCAACCTGTCTTTAGCCATTTGAATTTCATTACAGTATTTTCTTTTGCATATCTTTTGATTTTATTGTTAAAATCAAGCTGTTAATAGTACCAACTTAAAAGTGAGTTAAAACATACCTGTATTGGAAATAGGGAGTACTCAGTAAATTTTACTATTAAAAGTATCATTTTTTATTGCAAATTTTCATTTTTTTCTCTATATTACACATTTGTCATAGAGATTCTGAGAAATTCTTCCATTGTAGATGGTGGGATATAAAAGCTAAATAATTACTTGGAATATTTTTAAGATAATAATTTATTATTATTTTATTTTTAGGTGATTCCCCCTAAGGAGTGGAAGCCCAGACAATGCTATGATGACATTGATAATTTGCTTATTCCAGCACCAATTCAGCAGATGGTCACAGGGCAGTCGGGACTGTTTACTCAATACAACATCCAGAAAAAAGCTATGACCGTGAAGGAGTTCAGGCAGTTGGCCAACAGTGGCAAGTGAGTAGATTCAGTTTGCTATTTCTATTTCTTTTAAAAAAGAAATGAACATAATAAGAAACCAAGCAGACAGCGGAGATTATAATGAAAAGAAGGAGACTCATGTAAACATTTTAGCCTTTTATTTACTAAAATTTAGCTTAGTGTTATGGAAATTACTTTACATTTTATTATTTGTAAAAGCTAGCCAAGAGCTCTACTGCTGAGCTACATCCTCAACTCTGCCATGAGTTTTTGATTTATCTTTGTTAGGCAAAATTTTCTTTGTGTGACAGCACTAAAATCACACACAGATGTGTGTGTGTGTGTGTGTGTGTGTGTGTAGGTAGAGAAAGAGAGATTAGTAATTTTAAAAGATTTTAAAAAAAATTTTTAAATTGAATTAAAAAAATAAATTACAGCAGAATGCATTACAATTCTTATTGCACATATACAGCACAGTTTTTCATATCTCTGGGTGTTTATAAAGTATGTTCACACCTTAAAAAAATTCTTGAATGTATTTGAAGACCACCATTATTGTATTAGTTATCTATTTCTGGATAACAGATTATTCCAAATTTTAGCTGTTTAAACCAATTTATAATTTTATGGAGGTCAGGAATCTGAGAGTGGCCTAGCTTGGTGGTTCTGGCTTAGGGTCTTTCATGAAGTTGCAGCCAAGATGTTGGCTGGGTCTATTTGTCATCTGAATGTTTCCTGGAAGAGCCTCTTTTAGAAATTCTCCCCTTTTGAGGCTATTGGCTGAAGTCCTCAGTTGTTTGTGAAATGGACTGCTCCTCATGTTGTAGCAGAGCAAGTGATCCAAGAGAGAGTTAGCAAGATGAAAACCACACTATCTTCTCATGACTTGTCCCAGAAGCAACACACCGTCACTTCTGCTGTATTTTTTTTTGTTCCAAGCTAGTTGCTAAGGGGAGGCGAATGAAGTTCTACTTCTTGAAGAGAGGACTTTTGAAGGATTTGTGGATATATTTAAAAATCATTACAGAATAATAATTCTGATATAGATAGTTAAGGCCTTATATAACAATGTTAATATGTCCAAGCTGTTGATCTGTACTTCCTTCTTGGCACAGAAGTGCTTTATACAATTATCTGATGATTCCCTCAACAGCTCATCTATGTTTTATCCCTATTTTACAGAGGAATAACTGAGTTCCAAAAAAATGGAGCTTCCTGATTCTCTGTCCAGGTTTATGTAGCTTGATTGATTGATTGATTTATTGCAGTACTGGGAAATGAACCCAGGGCTTCACACCTGTTAGGCAAGCACTCTTACATTGAGCACTGAACTACATTTCCAGCCTTTGTAAAAATTTTATTTTGAAACAGGGTCTTGCTAAGTTAACCCACGCTGGCTTCAAACTTGCAATCTTTCTGTCTCAGCCTCCCAAATCACTGGGATTACAAGCATGTGTCCATACCTGATTGCTTATATAGGGTTTAATAGCCAAATCTAGATTCAGATCAGGTAGTCTGGTTCTGGGGCTCACTTCTTAAGAGTCTGCTATGGAGAGTAAAATGTTCTGGGTGGAAGGTCTGAACGAATCAGTTTTGAGCAAAATGACACAGAATTTGTAGAATACCTGTGGTTATTTGGGAGTGTATTAGGCATGGAATTTGTATCCAGGATTCATTAGAATCAGGTATCAGGCAAGTGAATTGGTCACTTTTCTAGTTTAGAATCAGCATTTATTACAAATATTTAAAGGCATTAAAATTTGATCTTAGTGGCCAATATCAAGCTCTTTTCGAATTATGAGTTTGAACATAGTGATCCCGATTGGGTATACAGTGATAGATTCTGTAAGTCTGCTTAAATAGTGTAAAGCAATTTAGGACTTCATTTTTCAAAATCTAAGAAGTTACTCTAGAAGTCCTAATAAATGACATTTCTGCTGCCTTTCTCTCCTTTCTTCTGTCCTGTGATCTGTGGTCTGGGGAATAGGGATGTGCATCTGTTTTTATCATCTGATTCTGGCCTCTGGTTAGCTTGTTTAGCTTGTCTGGAATTCCTGGTACTTCTGGAACCTACAAATAAATATGGTAGAATAATGTGAAAGTAAAGTTGCTTTCATGCCCATCCTTTTTATTTTTGGCTGTGCAGTGAGATTCTAGTATACTGGGAAAATTAGTCAGTTCTGTATTTCAAAACAGTTATTAAGTAGTGTGCTATTATATAGCTAATCAGTTTGGGTTTTCTACTCTAGTGAATGTAGATGTTGATTGATCTAGTCAATATAAAATATTTCTTATTCTTTATACTGCTAAGCATCTATTTCACCTTCTTTCATTGTTTTCTCAATTTGTTTTTTTGATTTTCTTAATGAGGAATTTTTTTTCTTGGATAAGATTGTTGCTGGGCTGGGGATGTGGCTCAAGCGGTAGCGTGCTTGCCTGGCATGCGTGCAGCACCACATACAAATAAAGATGTTGTGTTTGCCGAAAACTAAAATAATAAATATTAAAAAATTCTCTCTCTCTTAAAAAAAAAAAAACAAAGATTGTTGCTAAAAATTCAGAGAACTAAGTTATTTCCTTTAGTTCCTATGTGAGAGAACCGTTAATATTAATAATTTGGTGTACTTTTATTTGACTATTTAATGTACAATTAGTGCTTTTTTTTTACACCAATAGGATTATAGTATACATATTATTCTATAACCTGCTTTATTCCGTAAGCACAGATTTTAATTTCAATACATAGAAATGTACTTTATTTTATGTTTAATATTTTAAAAAACTGATTATTAGTTGCTAGAATTTAGCTAGTGTTTTCAGTTAATGTTGAAGCACACATCCTGGATCATCTCTTGTGGTACATGTATCTCTGTGTTACTATGAATTTCTAGTGTTGGATTTTAAGGTAAAGGGTATATATTTTTTGATTTTTGATATTATGCTGAAAAATTATATTTTGGAAAGGTCATGCCAGTATATTCTCCCACTCCAGGTTTGTTAAGAGGTCTCATTTTTTCCCTACCATAATATTTTAAGCGTTGCCAATCTAATATTTGACGTTTTTTTTTTTTTTTTTGGACTGGGTATTGAAACCAGGGGTGCTTAGCCACTGACCCACAACTCGAGCCCCCCGCCCCACTTTTTGTATTTTATGTAGAGATATGTCCTCACTAAGTTGCTTAAGGCCTCGCTAAGTTGCTGAGCCTGGCTTTGAACTTGTGATCCTCCTGCCTCAGTCTCCCAAGCTGCTGGGATTATAGGTGTGCGCCATGGCATCTGGGCTTATTCTAGTTTTTAAACTTTCTTGGATTGTTAGTGAGATTGTCCTTTGTTAATTTTCCCATAGGCATTATGTCTTTTGCATAATTTTTCAAACTTTTTTTTTGTATAATTGGTTAAATATCTTAAAAACTAAAATATGATTTATAGTAATATATTGTTTCTATTATTTATACTTTAGTGAAAGTATTCTTACTATTAAAGAGATCATATAGAGTTGTTTAGGAATACTGAGAGTATTCAAGTATCTGTGACATACATTATATATTAGATTTGACAATATGGGTGTCTGTTTTGATAGGGTTTTGTTTCAGAAGTGTTTGTTTCTATTTATATGGGTAGGAAAACCCTTAAAATTTTCTTACTGGTTGATAATTTTTTTCCCCCCACGTTTACAGATATTGTACTCCAAGGTATTTGGATTATGAAGATTTGGAGCGCAAGTACTGGAAGAACTTAACTTTTGTGGCACCTATCTATGGCGCAGATATTAATGGGAGCATATATGATGAGGTATATATATATATTTGTTTGTAGTAGGTTTTGTAAAGGATCATTTGGTGATACTGTTTTTATTAACATTTTAGATAGCTAAGAAATAGTCATTTGTTGAAATTTTGGGTGATCCGTAATTCCTCGAAGTATATGATGAAATACTTACTCATTAGTATGATTTTTGCAGCTGGTAATTTTCAAATTGAAGCCAGCTTATTGTACAAACACCTGAGATTATTGAAAATAACATATTTGGCTGATCTATACATTAAAAAATCTGAGCACAAGGAAATATTATCTTAACTGTCACTTAAAGCAAAAATAGAATTTTAGATGTTTTCTTCTAGAATTCTAATCATCTAAAAGTTACATTTGAATAGGCTTGTATTCTTTTTTATCAAAAATAAATTGTAAGTTTTTTTTCTTCTTTTTTTTTTTAAAGTACATGTATTACAGTCTTTAGCCATTTTTACAAGGACATAATCCATTCTACAGGATCCAATCCTTATTGCCTTATTGCCTCCTCCTGATTATTTTTAAAATGTGAATTATTATTTTATTTTGGACCTCCCCCGATATCTCTCTCTTTGTTTTATTTTATTATCTACCAAAAGGTGGAAATAATGTAACACAAAGCTGCATACTCTTTACCTAGATTCACCAGGTGTTGGTATTTTGCTACTTTTGCTTTATGTTTCTCTGTCCTTTTCTTTATCTCAGTTTCTTTATGTTTTTCTCTTTGCTATAGCATTTGAAAGTGAGTTGCAGGCATTATAACAGCAATGCCTTAAGTTGATCAGTACGTGTCTTTAATTATAAGACAACCTGACATATATATATCACCTTATATAAAAATATATTCATATGTCCCTAATTTCCCCAATAATGTTATTTGTAAATGTTTCTCTCCCAATATAATGGATGTAGTCAATGATTGTACTTTGCAATTAATAAGTAATGTATGAGTGACACTTTGGTGTCCTAACAGACTTTCTTGCATCTGGTAAATTTAGCATCTCTTAATAATTTGGCTTACCTCCATTATTAATTGTATTATTTTCTTTTCTGGTACCAAGAATGGAACCCAGAGGTACCCTACTACTGAGGTACATCCCTGGTCACCACTCCCCATCTTTCCCTAGTTTTTTTTATTTTGAGACAGTCTTGCTGAGTTGCCCAGGCTGAGTTTGAACTTATAATCCTCTTGCCTCAGCCTCCCAAGTCTTGGATTATAATGTGTGCCACTACGTACTGCTATTTTAAAACCTCTTCCCCTAAAAAACCGTAAGTTAGAAAGCACGTAAAACATTGCTATTTGAATCTGGAATGTCCCCCAGAGGCTTACATGTTGAAGTCTTGGTCCCTGAATTAGCCATGTTCAGAGGTGGGGCTTTGGGAATTGATTGGATCATGAGGCCTGTGACTGCATCAATAGATCTAAATTCATTGATAGATTTGTGTATGAATGTACTATTGAGCGTTGGTAGAAACTGTAGCAGGTGGGGCCTAGTTGGAGAAAGTACATCACTGAGGTTATGCCCAGGAAGGGTGATAATACACATACTTTTTTGTTTTTGCATTATAATTCTTAATACACATATATACCACAATTTTTCATATCTCTGTTTATGTATAAAGTATGTTGACACCCAATTAGTGTCTTCATACATGTACTTTGGATAATGATGTCCATCACATTCCACCATCCTTTCTAATCCCGTGCCTCCTCCTTTTTCCTTCCCCTCTGTCCTATCTAGACTTCATCTATTCCTCCCATGTTCTCCCTCCCTATCCCACTGTGAGTCAACCTCCTTATATCAGAGAAAACATTCGATATATATATTTTTAATATCTTTATTTTTATGTGGTGCTGAGGATCGAACCCCCGTACAGTAGAGGCCACTATGGGGTTCTATGGAGCCTGGAGGAGAAGCATGCAGGACATTCTGGAGGGGGAAGGACATCTTAGCTTGGCTTAGATGATTGAAAACAGAGGGAGGTTGAGAATAGGACCTAGGTAAATTTGAGGGCAAGACCACACCTGAAAGTTTTAGTATTTTTTTGCTGAAGTTAGAGGTTGTTGGCCAAGTGGGGGGTTGAGGAAATTGAGACAGACCTGATACAGTGGTTGGGAATAAGGAAGAAAGAGACTGCTTGAAGCCTACAGGGTCGTGGGCTGGATTGTGAGTCTGACCCTTGGTACCATAGTGGCCCTTCCTGCTTTGTTCCAAGGCTGCTGTTAGTTTTGTAGTACCAGGCATATCTTTTAAGGGGCACAAAAGGTACCAGCCTTGGGTACACACAGGAATTAGGGGTGAGAGCGTTCATGAAGCACTAGTTCAGAATAAACACCCCTGATAGGAAGGAGAGAAAGGCCTAGAAATCCCAGGGCTTGAGGCTTGTCAACTCTGCTGATTTATATCTTGATTTCCTTTGGTTCTACTAAAAAAACTTAGTGAATAGCTTGTGTATGGTAAAATAAAACAATTTAAGCCAGTTGTTATTTTTTAAATTGAAAAACCAAGACTATCAACGACATAGGTGACAAAACCTAGGCCTTGGGTATCTGATGCAGAGCAGGGTTTTTGTAATAAAGTTTTACTGGAGCACAACTTTGCTTACTCACTTGCATATTATATTCGGCTATTTTTTGAGTAATTATAACAGAAATTCTATGGTCTTCAAAGCCCAAAATATCTACTCTCTGGACCTTTGCAGAAAGTTTCTAGCTTTTAGAGACACAAATATTTGTTACTGGTGAAGAATATGCAAACCCTTTTTTGAAACAGATGGGTTATAATTAAAATTGTGAATGTTTTCAGGGGAATAAGATTAATATAAATTGAATACATTGATTAGTTACAATGAAATTTGTAGTGTTTGGGGGATTTTAGGAAATTTATGTAGTTGAGAAAGTTCTTAGAGCTGCTTGTGGTCCTGGGGGCCTCTAGATGATTCTTTGGAAATAGTACCCTAAGCATAACAAACTTAAGATCTCAATTTTGTTTGTATGTGTGTGTGTGTGTGTGTGTGTGTGTGTGTGTGTGTGTTTCGCTAAGGTATACAGATACAGAATTTAATTAGCTTCTGCTGATTGTCTATATATGTAAGAAGTTATCCCTAGACACATGGGAGCTTCTCTATGAAACAAAGCAAACATATAAAGATCCAGAGTAAAAAGAAGGATACAGAGAAAAAAAAGTCCAGAAACTGGGATAAGATTTGGTTTAAGGCAACAATAGTCAGCAGATTCTGTAGAAAAGATTTCTGAGATGTCCAGTAGCCATATACACCTCCATCAGCAGAGTCTGCTTTGTTCTGTGAGAGCTAAGAATAGACATCAGCATTACTTGTGTTACTGCAGTGACAGAGTAAGTTGTTCAGGCTTGTTTTCTCTGCTAGTTTGTCCTGCATTTCTAACAGTAGCTCATAGTATAATGGTGATCTTCTTATTGAAAATAATGCTTCATTAAATTCCATTAAAATGGAAGTTCCACATGCTTTGCTGAAGTAGCCTCTCATTTTCAGAAGGGTCTTAAAGTGTGTTCAGAGAATTTCCTTTGCAAGATTTTCCTTTTGCTGAGTGTTGCCAGATAGCTGCTTCCCTAATCCTTATCACCCTCTTCTGTCACTTAGGTCTTCTGATTCAGATGTCTCATATCCTAACAGGTAGCATAGTCTTCTTTGGCCCCTTTGAGCCAATATTTTATACCATGAGTTTAGCTTATCCCCATTGTTACAATCCCCACAGAGCAACCTAAGCCCTCTTTGGGTGCTAATTGTCCAGATTTTTTTTTTCTTTTCTTTAAAGGGAAATAAAACTATGAGATGACATTTTCATCAAGATTGAGAATTCCTTTGAAGGTAACCATCTTTTATCAGTTTTTTGCTGATAAAAGTATTTTCCAGTTCACTGGAAGAAAAAACTCTGTAGGGCAGCTGCCTCACCCATGATCTTCGTTTGTGTCATCTTTCACTGTTGTTGGCTTTGCCAGATCATTTTGCCCTTGTTTTGAAACTTGACTCCTTCAGTGAATTAGGGTTTCCCTCCATTGTTGCTACTCTAGATCTCAAAGGGTGTCTACCTTTCTCTCCAGTGCCAGTCTTGTATGCAGTGGTCTCCCCTACTGAGAATGGCTATGAGTCCTCTGCACTAGGCATTTCTCTAGTTTTTCCAAATGTTGTATTGACTCAAGTAATGCAGTGAAGTCTTCCAGATCAGTTCTGCTTTATTGAAAAGACAGAATGTGTCAAGATCCTGCTTCCTGTGTGCTTTCTTCCCTCAGTTTGAGACATTACTTCCTACTCTTTCTGGCCTCTAACACTCATGTTCCCCTACAGCCTTTTCGCTTTCTTAGGAAACATTTTCACCAATAATGATGGGAAGAAAATAGCATTAATGCCCAATACATCTAATAAGGGCAGGGGACATAATCCTTTTGGGAAAATAGATCTGAGATACAGATCTAATTCTATTACTTAGAGATATATTCAACTGAAATGATTCTGTTGGTGACCATTATCAAAGAGAATTTTTGATTGGACAGTGAATTTTGGATAAAAAATTATTACAGAAAGTATTTGTGAAATGAAGATAGATAATGAAGGATACCTGTACTTACCTTTGTGACTATTTCTTCTCTAGTAGACTCTTGAGTCCAGTGATGACAGGAAACATTTCTCATAAACTCTCTAGTCCCAGGCCCTAACATAGTATGTGTACCAAAAATGTACCTAAATAATTATAGAATTGATGAATGCATAGCAATAGAAAAGTTAGCTTAGGATCATTTTGTGGAGTTTCCTGAATGTTTTTGGTGTTTGTATGAGTCTTAAAAGAACTTTTTTGAAATCATTGCAGTTAGGAAATGATAGAATTGGAGTCATTTTGGCAAATGTGATCTGATACAGGACTTTTAGATGGACTGCGTGCAGCAGAAGACTTTGGAAAGGAGTTTTGGGTCAGGAGGATGAGGAAAGGGTTAAAGTAACCCTCTCCCTTGAGAGTTTTTTTTTTT